CCCCTAGTAGCGTCCTTGCTCCTAGTAGTAAGGCCAGGAGCCCCTAGTAGCTTCCTTGCTCCTAGCTGCCCGAAATGCTCCGTTTGTAGCATAGGTCTGGTGGCCAGCGAGCGGCCAGCACGAGTGGGGCGGGCACTTCAGCCTGGATGCTGAGCTGCGCTGGTCGGTCCTTTCGTCTGTTTTTGGGAAAACAGCAAAATGGAAGCTTGCATGCTTTCTTTAGAACCAACCTACTAGGGATGGCCTCCAACCTACTGGCGATGGCATGCAAGAGCAAACGCTGCAAGGTTTAGTCCTTGTAAAAAGCAAGATGGACAGGAAGGAAAACAAGGTGTAAAGATAGAAACAAGAAATAACGCTAAGAGGGTAAGTATCCATGACTATCTGTGGCTACTCATTCTTTTCCCTTTCGCTTGTCGCCTTCTCCCTGCTAGTGAAGTGGTGAAGTGGTGTGTGGTGAGTTGTCATGTAGTGTACAGAGTGTAGGGTGTCTATCAAGTGTTTTTGGTTCTCATCCTTCATCTAGCTCATTCTTCCTGTCCTTTTCCGTTCTTCCTTCTTTTTTTTTGCTTCGTTCAGACCTTCCTTTCCCTCTCTCTTTGCTCATCCTTTCTCATCAAAGAACTCCACGAGCAGTAGGTTGAGGGCTTGAGCGAAAAAGCACCTGCTTTCCTTGACCAGTGCAGCTTTCCCAAACATTGGACCAAGATAAGGTCGAAACCTGGTCTGGAAAACCTTGCCACAGCGCATATGAACACACATGCCTGCTTCGTTGTTCTTTCTTTTTTCCTGTCGAGTGCAACTGCCGTCTGGACTCAAAAGCAGTTCGAGAAGAACGAACGGAACGGTTTCAACCCAAAGCGGTGGCCTTACCGAACGCCAGATTCGTGCGCCTCGAATGCCTGACCCAGACCAACGACAGAGCTCTGCAAGACATCAAGTCTTCCCGTCTTCGCTTTTGAAGGAAGAAGTGCGCGATGTTTTCGAGCGATCCCTTCCCGTCTTCGCTTTTGAGGCAAGAACTGGAAGACCGAAGCTTAAGATCTGGGGGCAGAGGCCAGCTTTTCCGCACAAGCACATCTTGGAGCGTGAAAGCAGAAGGAACTTCATGACCTCCTTTGAATATAGCCATTATCGTGAGATTGTCAGTCTTCCTTTGTGTCTTTGTGTTGGAAAGGAACAAAAGTGAAACCCTCGATGCAATTTACAACTCGTAGCCACTCCATTTCAAACCAGTTCCTCTTTGTGTTTTTGATATTGTCCTTGTTGAAACTTACACCAAATGCTTCCTTCTGGATACTATCCCGCGCATTTTGGATCACTGTTTTACTTGCACGAATGTCACGCTCTCTTCCAACTCTGAGGGAAACAACCATGAACATTTTGGTGACGCTCTGGCCTCCAACCTAGAAGCAAATGGCCTCCACGGTAATAGCTATATGGAAGAAACCTTGAGCGCTTTGGCCACGCTTTGGCTATACCAAAGAGGTTTTGGCTTGTCTGGCAGGACAGCACGGCCTTGAAGGAAAGGTTCCTCACCCAGATCCCATTCCAGGATGCTGCAAGCTTGCAATCATTTTGTTCTTGAAAGCCTTGTAGGAGCGACACACACGCATACACACATATACAACATACTAATACTTTAAGAAGTATATATATATATATAATATATATATAATATATAGATGTTGCTGGGCGACAATCACCGCCCGCACACCAGACGGAGGATTCGGATTTATGGAACCCCAGCAGTGGAGTTAAAGCCACCCAAGCCCACGGTCAAAAACAAAGCGATTGTCGTCGGTTTGGGAAAACGGAGGAAACATGTGCAGAAAGCTACGGACGCAAACATCACTGCCAAGTGCAACTGAATCCAAGTTGGGGCCTACTACCTTGGGCCAACGTGCGCCCAAGTTGAACCGAAACAGACCCATCTTGCATCATGTAGGGCCCATCTGACAGCGCCTTTCTTGGGCTACATTGGTGCCACCTGGCCTTAGTAGCATCCGATCGCTCCTAGTAGTAATGCCAGGAGCCCCTAGTAGCGCCTTGAGCCCATGTTCGGAAGATGTTGCTCTGAAACGTCCAAGGTCGCCTAACAAACGGAAAAACAACTGTGGGTTTCTATCGACTTTTTCGGGCCGTTGACTTCCCCAACAGGGAGGTTTACTAAGGTGCTTCCACTATGTTGTTGGAACGCGATCATGACACGAAGGTATCACGCGGATTTGTTCCTAGAGGCACTCTTTTCCCTAGTGTTGAGTTCCATGACCCGGTTTGATGTTATCGCAGCATGGGGTACGGGGCGCTAGCGCCGGGCACCAGCACGAAACTTGATGCCCTTAGTAGCTGAGTAGCTTTGTTACTAGTAAGGCCAGGAGTTACGTTCCTAGCGTCCTTGTTACTAGTAGCAATGCCCTTTGTTACTACTTGATGCTGGCAATCCCTTCCCCTAGTTTTGCGTTTGACACACGGCACTGCTAAGCGTCGCAGGATCCCAGACATGGCCATCTGGTTCAGACAAGTGTGGGGCAAGGACAGTGACAAGTCGAGCCAGGTTTGCTGCGAAACTTTGCATCTTGGGAAGGAAGGGAGAAAGAAGTTGAAAGAGCAAGAGAAGAAGGAAGGTTCTAAAGGTCAAAAGACTGGAGAAGGTACAAGAAGCTACGAACGGGGGCTCCTGGCCTCGCTACTAGGAGCGATCGGACGCTACTAGGGAAACCTATGCAAAAAGCTTAAATTAAATTATAATGGCTTTTTGTTACTACTAGTAAGGCACTTGTTACTACTAGCGTGGCACTTGTTACCTGTTTGTCCTTCGTTTGTCCTACGTCTTTGTAGAAGTTCAGCCCCTCGGAGGGGGGCCCTGGCAGGAATGCGTATGAATGCGGAGATGGAGAACACTGCTGCTGCATGTGGCTCTTGGGAACATTCCGGATCAGTGTACTATCACAGTCATGTATCTCAGGATCTATTTGAGGCATTCCTTTTCCATTTTAGTTCCCTTTAAACAGCTAGAAACCGTTTTGACCATTGGATCAACCCCAGTCCTTCTTCGTCTTGCTATTACTAGCTAGTTAAGCTACTAAGCTTGCTTCTTGTCTACTTCACCCCCACCTGACCAGCCTTCACGACATGTTTCAAGCACAGAATCAGTTCATAAAGGCTTGTCTGCGTTCCCAATGAGAAGGGCGTTCGAAAGCAGCAAGCACTTGCGTCAGTAGCGTGTTCGTGCCTTCCAAAAAGCAATAAGTCGTGGAGATTGCTTAACCGACGTGTCTGTTGTGACGGCCGTACCGTGCCGTACCTGTCAGGTTCGGCTGCATTTATGATGTGGAGAAGGATGCTTGCAGCGGCTGCGATCCATCAGATCCACTCGCCACTCGTATGCAATGGCCACTCGTATTAGTGATCCGTTGGTTCGGTTTCGATGCACCAAAGAGGCAAGCCCAGCCTGGAAGGGAAACCCGCTGGCGAAACGGAAGGTTCTTTTGAGTCGCCCCCCCAGGTGGCCAAGTTCCATATCCCGGCATCACATCTTTG